GGCACGATAACATACTGACACACACACACACAAGTCACACATCTGATAACGTTATTTTTTTTTTCCCTTATACAACGATTTTCTCTCTTCTAATCTCGCCGGCACGTAAATCCATACTAAATAGTCTTCTTAGGAATATTGCGTTGTGTATTATAGTAACAAACAAATGATTCTTCGTTGCAAGGACCAAATGAGTTAATCACAGAACGAGGCTCCGTTGACCTTTGCATGCTACCTCCTTGGCATTTAGCATTATTCAGACTATGATGTCCTGATGGTATAAAGTTATCAGACACATACCAAAAGTAATGACCTTCGTAAGATTATCTCAAAGATATCTTTTAATATGATAAAACGGAGATAAGAAAAAGTAAGTTATAATTGGAATATTAATGTTACATAAATAGATGCATACATACATGGACACACACACACACATGTGTGTGTGTTTATTTATGTAACATCAATATTCCATTACTGTATCTATTACTTTTTTTCTTCACATCTCCGTTCTATCATGTAAAAAATATCTTTGAGATAAATCTTATGTGTGTGTGTGTGTGTGTTCATTTAAAACCTATTTAATAATTATACATCTGCGTCAATACCATTTTTTTCCATTTCTTTTCCGAAATGTAAGTAGGGGCAAAATTGCCTCCCCCGTGTGTGTACGGCCTTAAAGTCATTGCGAATGTCAACACATTTTTAACAAGTATCATTCTGATGTTTGGATTCGTAAATTCGCACATTATACAAAAATGTGACACGCTCTTACTATACCACTGATAAACCATTTATATGTATATATGTAATAACTATATGATTATGGACGAGCAATTCCAATTTCCAATGAACGCGTATCCTCAAGTTATATTATACCATTAAAATTGGTTTACGTGAGTTGCAACTAATATTTCAAAAAAAGTTGCGCCATCATGTGATTTGAAACCTCATTATTGTGTATCAGTATCCCGATAACGAGAAACGCTGAAATAAATGATATTTCCTGGGTGTTTAATGCAATTCAGATTCAATAATGCTGGTGACATGACATAGAATGGACCTTCTAAACAACTGTATATTCATGTTTTCCTAAATAACGTGTGACGAAAAATATCAAGAAACCATTAACGGAAAGTATGTAGTTGCCCCCTTAATGTGATACATTTCACTCCCACAACAGAATGATGAGAATATTACAGGCAATAATGTAAATACAACTGTTTTAACACTGATAACACACATCCGCTGAAATTACATGGACATCTGATTTCCTGTAAATGCTCAAGAACGACACTAATGTGCAAAATTTACATGTATCTTCCTATGCAGTATTTTTTTTTTCTTTTAAGAGTCACTTATATTCACAGCACAGACTTAAGATTGCCATTCTTTTCCTCAAAATATTTGGTGACATTTTACTGTAGCTTAGCCTTTTTTCGAAACATTAGGGATCCACCACTTTTTACAGGATAAATCAACCCTAGAAATAGAACACCTGAACTACTATTGAAACACATATGAAATATACCCCTATACACACACACACAAAAAAAAAATCTTTAAATGCATCTTATTCACTAACACTAGTTTGACTCAAGAAAGATTTCTGATTATTACTACGTCATTCAAACCAGTGGTACGAATATACTTGTGAAATTAATATCATCTAAAGTATATGTAAAAATACGTAATCTCATCTGGAAATCTTGAGAAAATCATGATAATAAATGTATTGGAAAATATAAGCTAAATCCACAACACATTCTGCCTGATAATTACAAATTACTCAACAGTGCAGTTGCGTCTTAGGTATAGTACGTCGTTAACCAATTCAAAGAATTATCTATTCATCATATTGAAGGTCACTTTCCATTTCATGTCAGCTGTCCAGTAAATTGTTTTGAATCGGGACCGCACTTGATAAACGCCTTGATTTTTGCCTTTGGTATAAACTGACACGGCAAGATGATTCCCTTAAACAAGGTATTTCGAAACTAAGCCTGGCGGAAATAGTGTGATTAAGCCCATAAGTACCGGCTAACAATACCATTCTAGCAGAGACTCTCTCCTTAAGAAGAAAATGACGTGAAGAATCCTCCCAGAAGGAATTTTTAGGTTTCACTTCTTTACCTTGGACTTGTTGAGCCTTCATTGTGGTCATTGTTGTCTGGGTATATTTAGATTGCGGCGAAGTTATTAATTCGTTCCTGCTACTACAGCTGTGAAATTCATGTTATGTCCTTGAATAAAGGGACATTAGCATTGCCGATTGCTGCCGCCATTAGCATATCAAAGGCTTTTGAATCAGAATCTATTCAGCTTTTCCTCTTATTACTACCTTGCATCCTCCTCTTTCTGTGGCCATCTGACATCCGCTCTCTTTGTTATCCTTTCTCTTTATTCAATGAATCCCCAGAGCTTACTTCCATAGACCTCTTGGAAATGGATTATCTGTATGCACGGATGGATGCAAGCACCACCACGCATGCGTTCTTATATATAGGCACGCACGCACGCACGGACACACGCACACGCACACGCACAACCGCGCACACACGCACACGCACAACCGCGCACACACGCACACGCACACACACACACACACACATTCATACTCGTGCACTTAAGCAAATAAAGGTTACTGCGGTCTGGTTATCGTAACAACATCCTTAAGACGGTCCTGCGCTGTACTGTACTATCCCTTGAAATATGCAAAAATCTGTGCTGCCGACACAGTACTGACGCGCTGCTGTGTTGCGGTAGACCTGTCTTTAAGCGGAAGTTGTAATTACGAAGTGCAAGTATTTTTTTTCTTTTCTTTATTTTTCAAAGCTTGAAACTGAATTATAAGTGTGTGGTTAGATGATAAATGAAAACAATAGTTTGAAAGAAGGGAAATATGCTAAACACACACACACACGCACACACACACACACACACACACACACACACACACACACACACACACACACACACACACACACACACACACACACACACACACACATACACACACACACACATACACACATACACATATGTACATGTATATATATATATATATATATATATATATATATATATATATATATATATATATAAGTATGTATTTATGTATGTATATTTGCAGACACTATATATATTTATACGAACACCCGTAAATGTGCACATGTACATGAATATCAAGAACATACAAATATTAGTATGTTTCTTAATACATATACAAGAAAATGCACATCACGCGATGCTGTGCGCGCGCGCGAGCGTGCATGGATGTTCAATAACCGAATAACACGAAACCGCTTGTATTCGGTATCGCTGTGAGACAACTCCCTTCCCCTCACTTCCGTCCGTTTTATTAATAAACGTTATATTTCTTTCGATTTATACTCGAAATCAGATTGCCATCTAAAGACTCTTTCAGACTTCATGGAATTTTTAATTTACGCAATGTCTGCGACGAGTAAAAGAGAGTGTTTACTGAAGACTTTGGACCCTCGCCTGACCATCCCAGTGGGGAGCCGAGTCGTGGTAAGTAAACAATAATTACAATCCTTCATTATTTTCTCTGTTATCATTGAAGTACGGGAGATCTCGGGGTTTCCTGGTTCGCTAGAGATGTGTAGATGTATTATGTTCCCAGTGAAGTGTATTTTTACGTTAGAATTTCCTCCGTTTGCGAAATAAAGCTAGTTAAAGAAGTGGGTGGGCGACCGGGCCCTATCAGTAGACTTGACAGATAACGGGAAATTAGGCGTCTGCATCCGTCCATTAAAAACTATTCCTGAAATTCCTAAACACAGATTTATATAATGCAACAGTCTATCCCACTTAAACTATCTAGTAAGAGTCATTCCCTTCATACTAATTAAAATAGGAATATAAGAAAAAAGAATTTCCCTTGGAAACATATCCCTCAGTCAAGAGTCGAGGGAACCTGATCCTCCCTCTCAGATTTTCTTGTGGGTCGACTGATCGGGGACTTGAATACACACTTTAAATGTAGACGTAGACTTCTGCAAATGTAGACTTCTCCTAATGTCAGGGATTGGCATTATAAGCATTACATATTTTTCGGAATGACTGGGTGTGGATTCCCTATAGGTTAAGGCTGTTATAGTTATTAAGCAGTATTTATTGGTAACCATGCAAGAGGAGCAGAATTTTTGTACATTTATGGAAATGTTTGCTAATGGTTATGTTTATGTTTAAGGGAAAATAACAAATCTACCATTAATGAAACATTAACCTGGGGAAACTAGATGGTACTAATCTTGTAAAATACATGGGGTGTGTACATGCAAATGGCTTTGGCTTCTTATTTTGGGGGCTTTTTGCAGGTACTATGTTGATGCTTTGAATTATGCTTGTAAATGTGTAAATTATGCTTTGAATGCACTAATCAGATATGTTTGGGTGGTTGATAACACTGGTGTAACCTTAATGTTCAAGTACGAACACTTTTCAACAAAATCATCTTTGAACGGCACTGAGCCTTCTTGAGGTTTTGAAAATGCCAAAGGAAAGGTAAATGTTTAGAAGTCCACTGCTGTCCTTACCCCAATCTGAACAACCTCCAACATGGCCATTGCATCTCTGCCATGTATATTCTGACAAGATATGGCTTTTAGATCTCATTGCTAATTATTTGTAAAAAAAGACCCCATGCCAAGCTCTTTGCCAAGCTCTTTCTTGTCAGATTATATATATTTGGTTGACCTTTGCTGGAGCATGCAAGCTGTAGCGATACCTTGACACTGTTCTGCTATTGTGTTGGATTTCAGATCATAAGATAACCTACAACCAGTATAATGATATAAAAAAAAAGCCACTGCAGGTGTATCTTCTAAACATTTATCAAATGAAATGTAGACTGAATGTATTTCCTGGGTACATATATTCCCCTTTTTCTCCCTGACTTGGTTCTTTTTTTGTGTCATACTATGAATTCAGAATTTGTTTTCGTCTGAAGAAGAAACACTTTTTTTCTACTTTTA